GCCCTGCCGGGCTGGGCAAGGGCTGGAGCATCGCTGAATGACTAGGCCCGGGCATTTGAGGGTTTTTAATAGCTAGGACCAGCACTGCAGCTCGGTGGAAAGCAGGGCCGGCCGGCCAGGTGCCTTCCAGACAAGAGGCAGCCAACCTAGTAATCTCCCCGCGATGATTTGTGGTCAGGGAGTATGGGAGTTGTAGTCCCAAACCGCCGGGGCACCGGGCGGTGGGCGGGAGAGGAGCAGTGCCAGATTGCTTACTCTGCGGGAAGCACCTACTTGTTTTGATCTCGCTCTTTGCAAGGAGAAGAGAGGAGCAGGCGGGGCATAGGGACTTAATTGTTTGTTTAATGAATTTCCCACCCTTCTCCCCAAAAGGACCCAAAGCTTATCTTCTTTGACCCCCAACAAAAAGTTGCCACCTGATAGCGTTCGGATTTTTCTCTCCAGTCAAAAAAGGAGTTGATTAACTCGTAGATGAATGAGTTGGGAGACAGACTTTGAAGGTTTCATCCCCTCTCCCTGCCCCTTCATAATGCCTTCCCTCCTTTGGAAATAATTATCATGAAAATACTGAGTTCCTTCTAAGTAATGCATAGAAGATGTAAACCTGCTTTTTGATACCACCTGTCAGAGCAGTGGTTCTCAACCTTGGGTCCACAGATGTTCTTGGATTACAACTGCCAGCAGTGTTGGCCAGAACAGCTAGTGGCCAAGGCTTCTGGGAGTTGTTATTCAAGAAGATCTGGGGATCAAAGGTTGGGAGTCACTGTGTTAGAGATTCTGGGAACTGAACTCACAAGCCTTCTACAGAAAAAGTGTGTGCTTTAATGCCGATTGATGGTTTCTCTTTCCCGGAGAAATAGTTAAAAATCAAAGTCATTTTTACAGTGGGGAGGTCTGTGAAATATTTCTCAGTGTATTGAGTCAATAATCCCCCTTTCCCTGGTGTTTTCTATGGGTTCAAAGTTAGGAGAGATGGTTTTCAATACGGATATCAGTATTTCTTGCTAAGGTATCTCCTGTGCATTCAAGGGTTGTTTTGCACTCATGGAGAAATGGCCTTCCCCATCTATTACACGTGGCTTGTTAACTTACTTTTGGGTTTTGTGGGTGGTTTGTACACACAGGCTTCGTCCACCATGGAACTCAAGCCCCTGATGTGAAGTGCTGGGTTCTAAGGCGCCAGAACGACAGAGCCTTACTTCCTGTGAGGATGAACCTGACAGACTGGGCTGAGGAGAAGTGGACGGATCCCTCTAATTCCTCCGTGCAGTGGCCTCCACACTCTTGGAGCAGCAACGACACTTTTTCCTTGCAAGGGGATCTCCAGGAGATAATCCATACAGCCACTCTGGTTACCTGTACCTTCTTATTGGCCATTATATTCTGCTTGGGTTCCTACGGCAACCTCATTGTCTTCTTGTCCTTTTTTGACCCAGCTTTCCGGAAGTTCAGGACCAACTTTGACTTCATGATCCTCAACCTGTCCTTCTGTGACCTCTTCATTTGTGGGGTGACGGCCCCCATGTTCACTTTTGCTCTCTTCTTGGATTCTGCTGCTGGTATCCCCGATGCCTTTTGCTTCACCTTCCACCTCACCAGCTCTGGCTTCATCATCATGTCCCTCAAGACGGTGGCCGTGATCGCCCTCCACCGGCTGCGCATGGTGTTAGGGAAGCAGCCCAATCGGACCGCCTCTTTCCCTTGTACTCTCTTGCTGACTCTACTGATGTGGGCCACTAGCTTCACTCTAGCCACGCTGGCCACTATGAGGACCCATAAATCTCGTCTCTGCCTGCCCATCTCCAGCCTGGTCAATAGAGAAGGGAAGATCATCCCTTACTTGTATGTCATTGACTTCATTTGTTGTGTGGCAGTGGTTTCAGTCTCTTACATCATGATAGCCCAAGCTTTGAGGAAAAATGCCCAGGTGCGGAAATGCCCTCCTGTCATCACGGTTGACGCCTCCAGGCCTCAGCCTTTTATAGGGCCGCTGGCCAATGGATGCTCCGATGGGGTACAGGGCTCCATGCCGGCTCTTTACAGAAACCAAAATTACAACAAACTCCAGCAGATCCAAACCCATGCGTACACCACCAAGAACCTCAGCCAACTGCCGTCTGCACCAGCAGTCAGCAGGTTCCAGCTGGTGTCCACCGTTAATTTATCCACAGCCAAGGACTCCAAAGCTGTGGTGACATGTATTGTCATTGTGCTTTCTGTTTTAGTGTGTTGTCTCCCTTTGAGCATCTCTTTGGTGCAGGATGTTCTGTCCAGAAACAGTGGCTTTATCCTTTACCAGTTTGAACTCTGTGGATTTACACTCATTTTTTTCAAGTCCGGATTAAACCCTTTCATATACTCACGGAACAGCGCCGGGTTGAGGAGGAGGGTCCTTTGGTGCTTCCAGTACTTGGCCCTTGTTTTTTTCTGCTGCAAGCAGAAAACTAGGCTTCGAGCTGTCGGCAAAGGCAGCCTGGAGGCCAACCGGAACAAGTCGTCCCATCATGAAACCAACTCCGCTTACATGCTGTCTCCGAAGCCTCAGAAAAAATTTGTGGACCAAGCTTGCGGGCCTAGTCACTCGAAAGAAAGCGTGCTGAGCCCTAAAGGGTCTGCCGGCCACCAACATTACGGAGGCCAGAGTAGTTCCACGCCCATGAACACTCGTATCGAACCTTACTATAGCATCTACAACAGCTGCCCTTCCCAGGAAGTGAGCACACCCAACAGCTTGCAGGCCACAAACTCTCCCTTTGGCTTTGCCAAGTCTTACGTCGCCATGCATTACCACACGACGAATGACGTCGTGCGGCATTACGACAGTACTTCTGCTAAGCAGATCTCGGTTCCCTCCGTCTAGTTGGTAGGAGCTGAAGACAGTCTAATGTTCTACCACAGTGGTGGCCAACCTTTGCTTGTTCGTTTGTTGGTTTGGCCCGCATGCCACGAGTAGCTCAAAAGTATGAGGTAGGGCCATTCTTGCATGTACAGCAGAATTCAGACACCTCCACCCTTTGAGGTCATTTTGCATTCAGTGCCCTGAGTAGACAGCTCATAGTCAGGTTTCCAAATTTTTCTATTGCCTTCCAGAGTCCCACTTCTGATTCTTGTATTGCAGGTTGGTGACCACACATTCTGCTAGTTCACTGCTCTCTTTTTCCCCCTCCCTTTTAAAGTTTCCTGGTTATTGTATTGAATGTTACACCCCAGAAGTACTTTTTTGTCCCTGAATGGCGGCACACAAGATTAAATCCATCTTTTGGCCAAAGCAACTGCTAACTACACATCGTAAGTTGTGCACTTACTTTAGACCCAAACCAGATATTTTAACGTTTATGCAGTAAACAGTGTTATGCAGTGTTGTTTAATTTTTGTTTTGTTTTTGCCTGTTTATGCAGTACACATTTCTAGCATTAAAAGTAGTTGCTGTTAAAAGATCTTTACTCTGAATTATATATATTATATAAAATTGGTCTTGCCAGTGGTTGAATGGGTGACTGTTAGAATCCCTTTCATTCACCCCGAGTTCCATAATTTAAATATAGTTAAATAGACAAACAAGCAGAAACAGTATTAGGGCAGAATTGAGGAAGCCCATGTCAAAGTAGAACCATATGGGCCCAGGTACATCAGAACTCTTGCTACAGTTGACAAATACTTTCAGCCCCTTTCTAAATGTAAACAAATACATGACAAGAGGTTTTTTTCTCCATGTAAATACAGTATTTTCGCAGAACTACAGAATGTAAGGAAGTTAAAATGAGCTCATGTAAGATAGAAAGGACCTCCTTTCTATCATAGTTTTGTAAACAGGTCCTTCAAAGTTACCAGTCCACAATATTTTTGTATAAGTAGACATGATTATAAATTGTATTGGTGTGAAAATACTGTAAGTCATGAGTGGTATGAAAGAGAAATATTTATCACATATTGGCTGAAATCTAGTCACAAGTAGAGTAGACCCATTGAATCAGTTGTAGGAATGCTCATTCACCAAACCACCAATGATTCTCTGGGTTTGGATTTTAGCCATTTTATCAGTATCCCTCACAATAATCTTCTAAATTTACTCAGAATTATTATTCCCACCTTGTAATTGAGCAGGCTGAGAGTAAGTCAGTTGCCATCATCTATGGCTGCTGTGAGATATGAGCCAGCAGTGCTAGTCAGCTGAAGTGAGGTGACTGTTTTACAAAAAAGTTGCTGTTTCCAAAATGTTTTTATCCCTATTTAGACAGTAATATATGTCTATCGGTGGCTGCAATTACAGTAGTAAGCTTATTGGAGTGGTTCAGTTTGTGGAATTTTTCAGTACCAGTGGGATTTTTAAAGATGTTGCACAGTGTTAGGGAAAATGGACAGTTTTCCCAAAGTCCACACATACAGAGACAGACACATACCATGGAAGTATAGTGATCTGCTCCAGTTTGTTGGAGTTGTTTTTATTTCATATAAATTTTTACCTTCTTTTTTAAAAAAATCCTTACTGAAGTGATATAGCACTATACTAATATATCAGTTCAGGGATAAGGTGATCTAATGTTAAATGTGATAGTTTATCTTTTAACAAAATGTCAAGGCAGCTACGGAGATCTGGGAGCAATTGGAAAGATGATCGAGGCTGCTGCTGCCGCCACCGCCACCACCGGGCACTTGAGTGGAGAGGCCGGCCCCTCGTGAAGTCCAGCTGCGCAGGGATATAATACCCCCATCTCTACTTAAGACAAGTAACAATAATTCAATTAATTGTACCAAACAGGCATGCTGGTAAAGAGAGCTTGGCCTGCAGCCTTCTTCCTCATAATGCTAGGGCCTTCAGCATAATGCTGAGCCTTCAGCATCCACTCTGCTGAAATGGTAAGTCCCAGCAAATACATTGATTGGGGTTCTGTATCGTTCTCACTGCAGGACATGGTGGCACACGCTTGTAATATAACATTTTGCTAACCACAAAAGCAAAAAAAGTATTTTTCCAAAGTACCTGCAGAGATTTCAAGGATCTGTTTTTTGTATTAAGGGTCTTCTTCCCTTTCTGTGAATAACACAGAAAATTCTTTGCATGAGTTGGCACTCCTTGTCACATAATTACGTCCCCCACCCCGCCCAATATCTGTCATGTAAATGCAGATCATCTTTATTGTGCAAGCATTGGTGTTCACAAGATAATGTTTTAGATACACATAAACATTTAACATTGGTTAGTTATTAGTAGACAAACTGAAATTAGCAGAAACAAAATGGAACGTAACAAGTAATTCTCACAAAGTATGAGAGAGAAAAAAAACATTTTTGCTAATACGTTTTGCCTTCATAATTTTCTAACTTAGAAATAGCTCAAAAAATTCAGGTGAGGTAGTACAGTGCTTTTTGACCCTCTGGCTTCTTTCATTTTTTTGTTTTGTTTTTATTTCTTATATGTTTTCTGGATTGTAAAGGGATACTACAATATTAATAAAACATTCCCTTCCGGTCTCTGATAGTATTGATGTATTATCCTGTCAACAAAAGAGATCAATTATTCTGTGATGTTTCAAACAACCCTTCCTATTGTGTGTGTATGTGTTTCTAAATGTGATGGTTTCATTAAGATAGCATGGGGATTTGCTTGATGTAGATAGAAGTTAAATAATAATAATAATAGTGTGCTTTCAAATCTGTTCTGACTAATTATGACTCTTTCTAGGGTTTTCTAGGTAATGAGTGCTCAGAAGTGGCTTATCATTCCTTTTTTTTTCTGGGGGGCATCTTGGGACTGTGCAGTTTGCCTAAGAGTATATAGGTAATGAGTGCTCAGAACTGGCTTATCATTCCTTTTTTTTCTGGGGGCATCTTGGGACTGTGCAGTTTGCCTAAGAGTATATACGATGGCTCTTTTCCCATGAGTCATAGTGGAGAATCAATCATATACCTAACTCAATGAATTATCCAGCCGTCATAGCGAGAAGGGGGACAAAAATCTTAATACCCCAGTATCCCAATACGGGACTCATCATGGTGAACGCTCTTATTTAATCATACTCTATGTATTAATAGGAGGTGGTGGCGCTGTGGGCTAAACAGCAGAAGCCTGTGCTGCAGGGTCAGAAGACCAAGCAGTCATAAGATCGAATCCACGCGACGGAGTGAGCTCCCATCGCTTGTCCCAGCTCCCGCCAACCTAGCGGTTTGAAAGCATGCAAATGCGAGTAGATCAATAGGGACCACCTCAGTGGGAAGGTAACAGCATTCCGTGTCTAAGTCGCACTGGCCATGTGACCACGGAAGATTGTCTTCGGACAAAAACGCTGGCTCTATGGCTTGGAAACGGGGGTGAGCACCGCCCCCTAGAGGCAAACACGACTGGACAAAAAATTGTCAAGGGGAACCTTTACCTTTACCTATGTATTACTATTGATGTGGCAGTTAAAATGTGAATCATTGAACATTTTCATTAAGTCATTTAGTTTTTAACATGATACTGTTATTTCCCAAAGAGTTACTTATGTCCTTCACTCACTTTTTCAGAAGCAATGACTTGTAGCAAAATACAAAATAGACCATAAATTCTTAAGCTGTGGTCCGCAGACCCCCTCCCCCAGGGGCCTGCAATGTCCTTACAGGGGGTTTGCAAAAGCTTGAAGAAATGTTATGATCTTTTGCAGTTAAAATAGAAATGAAGGAAGTAAGAACGAACAGCGTAGAACAAAATCTTGATTTCCCTTGCTTGTTTGTGTAAAACGTGCCTTTTCTAATCTACCACCTCCATTAAAAACAAACAAAAGTAAAAACTGGTTATGAAAATAACTGTTTGATAGCAAATAATTGTTTGGTATTTCTGCACACGGTGAGAACATGCAAGTGAATGATGCTGAGTAGCTGAGAAACAGTATGTGACACTTCTTGCTACTGTGCGGACAGTCAGAAGCTGCGGGAAGAGAGAGTCAGAGCTGGTCAGTGTCAGTGCGAGCGAGTGTTTGGACGGACTTAGTGATCATGTTTCTTCTTCAGTTTCTGTTAATAAAACCAGGCTTAGCGATTATGTTTCTTCAGTTTCTGTTAATAAAACCATTTGGTTGTTTTCAAGTGAACTGACTTTTCAATATTATTGCCATGAATTTTGTAACAATACGTTTTGGCTAAGCCTCAGAATGGATTGTTGGCTGAATTTGAAATGTAAAAGAACTGATGCTGTTAATGAGGGTACATCCTGTTCAAAGCAAAATGAAGCTTACTCCAGCCATCTTAAAAAGTGTCACCATTATAGCAAGGAATATCTGTTGATGAGACCCTTCATGAGAAACCTTAAATAAATATTTGATGCACTTTAGAGTTTTAAATCTTGAGTTAAGTCTTGGTGGTCCATGGCAACAAATTAAAGGGGGTCTGTGGTAAATAAAAGGTCAAGAACCTCTGAAATAAACCATTAAACAAACACACACACACACACACACCACAAAAAGCAGCAGATAAAATAAACCTTTTAAAAGCTTACTAATTATTACCAAGGATGTGGTGGCACTGCAGGTTAAACCACAGAAGCCTCTGTGCTGCAAGGTCTGAAGATCATCAGTCATAAGATCAATCCATGCGACGGGGTGAGCTCCCGTTGCTTGTCCCAGCTCCTGCCAACCTAGCTGTTCAAAAGCACGTAAATGTGAGTAGATAAATAGGTACCACCACAATGTGAAGGTAACAGCGTTCCATGTCTAGTCGCGCTGGCCATGTGACCACGGAAACTGTCTCTGGACAAACGCTGGCTCTACAGCTTGGAAACGGGGATGAGCACTGCGCCTTAGAATCGGACACGACTGGACTAAATGTCAAGGGGAACCTTTACCTTACTATTATGTCCTGTCAGGTTGATTTTGACTTCTATATTTCCTGAGTCTTCTTAGTATAAAATAGTCAGAGGTAATTTAACAGATCCTCCTTCTGGTGATGTTCTGGGACTATGCAGCTTTCCCAAGACTGGAGAGTGAACAATTGCAGGATCAGAGAGTCCTTAAACTTATTTCAGCCAATGGCTCTTAAGCTCATCCCACAAACAATGGCCATACCATTTTTAAATGAATTAAATTATACTTAATATTAATGTACAAATTAACAAAATTATCGCATACATAAACAACAAAACGTAGTGACTCAAACTGGCGTGGTTGCAACACTGATTCACTGACCACCTTATCTCAACCTTTGGCTTCCGTGAACCCAACCAGTGCAGCAAAGGGTTAGGAATTCCGAGAGCTGTCATCCAAAGCATCTGAAATGTTGAGAACCCTCGTTCGAGATAGAATACAAAATTTACTGAAACTAGCAAGTTTTCCTCTGGCCATTGGTTACAGCTCTACATAGTAGATAAGAATGTTCTCACATGCTTGCCTCTTACTTGACCGTATTCAATCAAGTTGTTTTAATCAGTCCATACCCAAGTTCTCAGTAAGCAGCACCCCCCCCCAAAAAAAAACATTCTTGTTCAAGATTCATGCAGTTTCAATTCCACATGCTCTTCATCTGTTTCCCGCTACAAGTCATTTTCTTCCATCAACACTGTCACAGTCAATCATTTCACTCCAAAATATATAACAAAATATACATACATACAGCCCTTTCTCCTGTACATTGATGTCTGCTTGTCATGCTGCTGGTTTGAATACTGAGCTATTGAAGTGCTGTATGTATGTATATTTTGTTATATATTTTGTAAATACACTGCAAGAAAGAAGAATCTGTTGTGTTCGTTTATCTGCGCTTTATTCTGCTGAAGAAAAGATAAAGACACAGACGCACATTCCCTCAACAGACACCACTGGCTCCTCGGTAGTTCTCAGCATATCCATCAGCTGGGGTCAAGTAGGTTTTCCTTTTTGATAGCTTTCTAAGCTTGCTGAATGTCTGCAGGATGCTGTTAGGTGGGAGACCTTCCGGTACAACCATATCTTTTGTCCAAGAGGCATAGTTGTTTTTTTAAAAAGCATGTAACTGTGCCCTCAGTCAGGGAACGCACATTGCCACAGCTCATAGTGCAGAAAACTGCCTGGTGTGGATACAGTGGTGCCTCGCTAGACAGTTACCCCGCATGACAGTTTTTTTTCGCTAGATAGACATTGACTTTTTGCGATCTCTATAGCGATTCACAAAACAGTGATTCCTATGGGGGAATTTTGCTGGACAATGTTTGGTCCCTGCTTCGCAAACCAATTTTCGCTAGACAACGATTTTAAGAGCTCCCTCCGCGCTCACAAAACGGGTGTTTTCGGGACCTAAGCTTCGCAAGACAGCTATTTAAACAGCTGATCGGCGGTTCGCAAAGTGGCTTTCCTATGGCCGATCTTCGCTAGACAACGACGATTCTTCCCCATTGGAACGCATTAAACAGGTTTCAATGCATTCCAATGGGGAAAATGCTTTTTGCTAGACAATAATTTTACTAACAGCAATTTAAGTGGAACGGATTATCATCGTCTAGTGAGGCACCACTGTATAGATATTATGGAAGTTTAAGAAACTGCAGCATGGGTACTAGAAGCCGAAAACTTGCTAGAGAAATATCAGAACAAGCACAAAACGTTTGGTCACACAGTATTTTGTTCCAACCACTTTCAACTGTGGTCTCATTACTTGCTCCACACATCTTATCCACCCCACACCATTTTTTTTTGAAATACTGCATACTTACTTTTTAACTCACTCTGCTGTGGATCTGGAGTCTTGTCTTTGGAACTGTTGCTATGGACACAGCTTGGTCTTTCTTAGGTGCTTCCTTCTGTATCATGTGAAGATAGGCAGGAACTGGTGCTCCAGATTGCGACACGCAAAAACCTCTTTTTACAAAAGAATGTGAATCTGTAATTTCCGGCTGTAGTTCCCATTCTGGCTTTTATAGCAGTAATTCCCCGTGGGTGGAAAAGCTTTAAAAAGATGTAACTGGTAGACCCAGATTGTGCTCTTTACTGACTAGTTTTCCCCCTGATAAAAATATCAACGTAATCAACTCAACAGGAGCTGGCTCAGCTGTTAGGACAACTGTGTCAGCTGTTTCCCCTACATGATGAGATTTGCCTACTACCCTTATGTATGTCTAGTGTAGCCTTTCTGATTGCCAATTAAGCACGTAACCCTTCCTGTTTATTGCAAATGAGCCTCATCCACCCCGTATGTTGTTGTTGGTTTTTTTTTTTTGCAGTAAAGATTTAATAAGAGTGATACTCATATTAATTAGGTTTGAGGTCTAAAATGTTGTTCTGATGTTTGTCTATTGCATCCCACTGTTTTTGGCATCAATTTTTATCAAGAAGTTCTCTTTCTGTCCCATTCCATTCTGACTTTTACCTAGTCCCCATTTTGAGTGTGTATGTGTGTTAGCAAGCAAGTTGTTGTTTGCAGCTCTGCTGTTGCCTTGTGTATCAACTGTGATAAAGCAGCTTAAAAAATGCTACAGCTAACAGGACGTGATTCAATTAAGATTTGCCAACATTACAAAAATGCATCATACGACTTTTGGTCGCAGAACATGGCTATTACAAGTATCAGATTTTAGTAGTTGCAGCTACTATGCAGCTGGTTCTTATGAAACTAGACTGTTAGAAGCATACAATGATTTAATTGGAAGGGGCCTATAAAGCCATTGAGTCCAACCTCCTGCTCAATGCAGGAATCCAAATCAAAGCAGATCTGGCAGAGGGTTGTCTAATTTTCTCTTGGATTCCTCCTCCAGCATTGGAGCGCTCACTGCCCCCTGAGGTAATTGGTTCCATTGTTGTACTGCTCTTACATTTAGGACATTTCCCCTAATATTCAGCCTAAACCTGGCTTCCTGTCGGTTGAGACTGTTATTACACGTTCTGCACTCTTGAGATGATGAACAGATCTTAACCCTCCTTTGTATGATTACCTTTAAAGTATTTCAAAAGTGCTATGATATCCCCTTAGCCTTTTCTCAAGGCTAAACATGCCAAGTTCTTTCAGTCTTTCCTCATACTGTAGAACTTTGTTTCCAGTCCTCTGATCGTCCTTGTTGCCCTTCTCTGAACCTTCTCGTTTGTTGGCATCCTTCTTGAACTGCAGTGTCCAGAACTGAACACAGTACTCTAGATCAGTGGTTCTTAACGTGGGCAATAATGCCCCCCAGGGGGCGATTTCATTTTTCAGGGGGGCGGTAGAACGAAAAGGGGCGGTGTGGGGGCGAAAGAACAGAAGGGGGCGGTAGGGGGGCGCCGGAGCGAGCCAAACCTGTGAAGGCGACAGTGCAGGCAGTAGATCCAGTGCTGCTGCCGCCGCCGCCAGATGATCCAGCTCTTTCTACCTGCCACGTCTCCTTTAAGGGAGCACTGAGTGTGGATCGGGTGGAAGGAAAGGGTCTCTTGGGTCCTCATCCTTGCCCAGTGCCCCGACGCCGCCCCTTTTCATTCTATCGCCCCCCTGAAAAATGAAATCGCCCCCTGGGGGGCATTATCGCCCAGGTTAAGAACCACTGCTCTAGATGAGTCCTATAACCAGTGCTGAATAGAGGGGAACGAGTACTGTACGTCTGAGGATTCGGAGACTGTACTTCTATTAATGCATCTTAATATAGCGCTTGCCTTCTTTGCAGCCCCATTGCGTCATATTTAGCTTTTGATCTCCAACAATTCCAAGATCCTTCTCACTCAGACATCCTTGTCTGCTTCTTCTCTAGCTGCCCTCAAATACCACACCAAGATTTGAGGACCCTGCTGAATGGCCTGCTGGATGAGGGGAAAGGCAGAATCCCTTAAAACAGGATGAAGGTGTCTTCCATGAGCAAAATAGTGGCAGGTAGATTCTTTCTTCATTCCCAGAGAAACCCCATGACAGGACCTCTTCCTTTTCTCCGATAGGAATTCAAGATAAAATTATGTTATTTTGGGGGTAAGATCCTCTTAACAATCTTTGTTAATCTCTCCAAGTGAGTGACTCAGGCTTTCTGCTGCAGCTGAAAACAAGAGATGCCTGGATAACATGAACGTAGAGAAGTTTCTGTTGGAAACTTGATTAGCTGCGCAACACTCTGCAGGCAGCAGGAAATTTGTGAGTTTCTTGGAAACTAAAGTGGTGCTTAATGAATAAACCCTGTGCAGTGACTAACCCTATAAAATCCCAACCCTTTGCACCAGAAAAGCTTGAGTTCTTCCATAATAGCATCACCATTAAATTGTTAAATCACGCACATTGTGGGGAAAAAGTGATATTCACAGAGGAAAAAAACCAGGCACCTAAAGAGATGCTGAGTGTTCCGTTGGCTAAGATTTGCTTTTCTGGTAATGGCACAGACTGCAGCTGGCTGGAGGCCGAGGGCTTCAGTGGACAGTTCAGCCTAGTCACCAACAGCGTGCATGTGAAATGCAGCTACTCTTCCTAGCCCAATTATGTAAGAATTTCAGTCTACTACATGACTGCGCCTAGATTTTCGGAGTAGTACCCAAAAGGTCTGTTTCTGGTTAAACAGAAAGGAAAGGCTATTTTAATATTTGGGACAGATGTGTTGGGTACACAATGGTAGTGGTGGCAGATAGCTAATGGATGTAGAAGACAGTCCTTCAATAAAAATGTTGACCAGTAACTTTGCAGAGTGACAGGAACAAGTCCAGTTACTCTGTTCCTAATGTTTATTCACTGTCCTGTATGTATGCAAGGGAAGGCTCACCTGCATCTAGTACACTCCCATTATATATACAGTGGTGCCTCGCTTAATGATTGCTCCGAATTATGACGAATCCGCGTTACGACGATCTTTTTGCGATTGCAATTGCTATCGGAAAACCATGGTCTAAATGGGGGAATTTCGCTTAGTGATGTTCGGTTCCCTGCTTCCGGAACTGATTTTCGCTTTACGACGATCACAAACAGCTGATCGTCGGGTTTTCAAAATGGCCACCGGGTGCTTAAAATGGCTCCCCGCTGTGCTTAGGGACGGATTCCTCACTATACAGGCAGCAAAAATGGCTGCCGTATGGAGGATCTTCGCTGGACGGTGAGTTTTTACCCCATTGGAATGCACTGAACGGTTTTCAATGCATTTCAATGGGGTTTTTAATTTCACTTTACGATGTTTTCGTTTAACGGCAATTTTCCTGGAACGGATTATCGTTGAATGAGGCACCACTGTAGATATTTGTGTTCATATACATACATGCATACATGTATGACGTTTTCTCAAAGTTGAGAGTAAGCCAATGTGGGCAAGATCAGAGGTAATTACATTTACATGCTTAAGCTTATAAGGTGGCTTGATATTTGTGTGCGTATATATACATGCATACATGAAAAGTGTATGATGTTTTCTCAATTAAAGTTGAGAGTAAGCCAATGTGGGCAATATCAGAGGTAATTAAATTTACATGCTTAAGCTTATAAGGTGGCTTTATACTGGTGAAACCAAGGACCGTGTGATGCCCAGACCAATTTTTATAGCATTTAAACTTCAGGGTTATCTGAACTGTTTATCTCTCAAATTGAAATGAGATTAAAATGTATGCTGAGGCAACACTTCTAGCTTGAAGAGATAGCTTATTTAATGTCATCCAGAGAGCATTCAAAGCTGGTTTTCATCCAGCCCTGGGACACAGAATCTTTTAAGCACAGTACAATCAACCTTCGACTTACAAACTTAATCCGTTCCGGAAGGACGTTTGTAAGTCGAAAAGTTCGTAAGTCGAAATCGAAATTTCCCATAGGAATGCATTGAAAACCAATTAATCTCTTCCTGCTGTTTTTGGTTCTTAGGTCGGGCTCCGTCTCCATTGTCGAAGCATTCGTTCCTATTAATCCGATTAATCTGTTCCTACCACTAGGGTTAGTAGTTAATTAGGATTCAAAATACAACTCGCGAAAGCTTTAGTGTCTACTGACAACAGTATGTCTTCAGCAAGTACAGTTCCTTATTAAAATCTTGATCTTCCCGAGAATGAGCAAATAGCTTTTCATTTCAGTTCCAAAGCATCTCATCCTGTCTCCCCCACTTCTAGTTTTTTTTTCCTTTCCCCAAAGGCGGCCAGTAGTTAAGACCATCTACCTAATCCTGTCTACCTCCTTTCTGCAGCAGGCCTTTTAAAACTCCCCCCCCCAACACATACACCGGAACTCTCTGCTTATATATTAGGTTGCTTTGCTATTCCTTGGTGATGTGCCTCTAGAACAGCCGTTCTCGCTGGGGGTGGGTGGGTTCTGGCACACTGAGAGGGGGCCACAGACGGGAAAGAATTCCCCACACACCACCTTATAAGGTTCACCGTGTGACCTTTACGATCCTGATTTGGTCTCTGTTTCTTTGTGTTTATGGCTATGGCTGGAAAATATCTTTTTTGGGAATGGCTGCTCTAGAAGACTCCTCATCCTCCTGTCACAGAGCTCTCCATCAAAAGAGGGATTGTGCGCCTGCTTATACAATCCAAGGAAGCAGTTAAAGTAACGTCTCTTGTGGGCATCAGCCTGGGCCTCGAATACTGGATCCTAGCATCAATCTCATTCCTCCCTTTAAATGTGGGTCGTTACAGGTATATGTACTGGGTGGTGAAAGCACAAGATGATCCTGTTGTCAGTCAAGAGCCCTGTCGCCAGTTAAATGAGTAAATAAACACTAGCTGTGCCACTTCACAGGCTGCCCACCTGGCACCAAGAATTGTAAACAGAGAACACAAGTGAAAAGCAAGTGATCCTGTATTTCCTACCATTTAACGCAAGGCTGTAATGGGTGGGGTGTGTGTCTTAAAGCACAGCTTTCTCCACTACATAGCATCAGGAGCCAATGCTTATGACTTCCACCACCAGTGTAATAAACTGCTTGGCTGCAGAAGGGCAACAAATCTGACCCCCTTGATGGCAAAAGCAGGACCATACACAGACACTTCTACATGCTAAGCCATGGTGAAGGCTACTCACTCACTGTGGCTCCTTTTTCCTGGAGCTAGGAGGTACTCAGCTCCCATGCTACCATTCTTCATCATCACTCTGTCTTGACATTCTTCATACCTTTCCATGACGGATCCATGTCTATGAAGGTCCTTTGCTGAGACCGTGCAATTCCTGGTTCAAGCTGAAAGCCAGGACGTGTTCACTTTGTGTGTGAATCTAATAAGAAAAATCTCTTTTTTTTGGCTCCGTCTCCATTCACTTTCCTTCTGAAGTAGTCCATGCGTTACTTCAGATGTGTCAGGCGAGGCTGCAGAGTCGACTCTCTTCCATTGAGAAAAGGCTTTTTTGTAGTATATTAAACATCTGAACCAAACCAGATAAACTGCTTTGTGGTGGTCAGGATGTTAAGAGCAAGACTCAGAATAATAATATTTGCTTAAGCACAATTTGTTTAACTAGGAAAAACCCCAACCATTTACTTTTATTACCCAAACATTTAGGGTAGAAGATGATCCTCCTCATCCCCCTGAAGGAAAGGAAATGATACTTTTTCTTTATAAGTAGGATGTGAATTAGTCCATTCAAGCCGACATCACAACACCTTAGAAAACAGACTCCGTTTTACATTACGGATGTTTTTAATTTTTAAAAGTTTATCAATAGGCTTTTATATACATATAATATTCACAGAGTGGTTCCTGATAGCCAAGTTGCTTTCCCGGATGGAGCTGCTGGTGAGGTCTTTCTGGCTCAGCCTTTCTCTTCCCTGTTAATTCATGTGCACGAGTCCAAGCGTTCTTTCTTCCTTCAGCTTTCGTGGCTCTGGACTTTTAATCAATTCTCTGCACTACTAACTGGGCACTGAAAGCAGTCCGTATTCATCCGCTGTATCCAAAATTTTACATATAACGGGTGATTCCACCTGAATGGGAAAGAAGTATTGAAATGTATTAGGAGGTAAGCTGTCTCGAATGTGCAGCCACAATGTTGATTAGAAGTATAAACCCAGCTGGAGTGTATGGCAGGCAGCAGTAACACTGGCCATGTCTGCATGGCTATTAAAATTTCAGCGAGCATTAAAATGCTGACTAATATTGTTAGGATCAAAGAAGAAAGACGAGTAGTTAATTTGTTTATCCAGTCCATGTAATCTTGTTACGATTTGGACTAAGGGCAGGCTAACGTCCAGCCATCTGCTGTATTAATAATAATCACATCCTATCAAGTTGCTTTTGACTTATGCTAACCCGGTTGCAGGGTTTTCTACACACAGAGAACTCAGAAGTGGTTTTACCATTTCTTTCCTTCTGAGGACTGTGCAGTTTGCCCAAGGCGACACAGGCTGACGGTTCCCTGGGATGCAGTGAGGATCTGAACTTCCAATCTCTGGCTCTATATCCCGATACCCAACTTATTGAGCTGTATAGCCACAGCGGAGCTACTTTATTACAGAACAATTTTCAGGAAATCTAAAGTACGTATACAGTGAGCTGGGTCCAGGTTAAAACTGACACACTGAAAACAATGGAAAGTGCTAGTCATGACTAATTTCAGTTTTGCTGATTTTAATGGGTCCGATTTGAGTAAATCTGGTTTCAAGCTATTTGTTGTGGTCTACTTAAATCTGTTACTTTAACGTATCGTTATAGCTGCGTGTTATCTTTTCATGCAACCACTGTTTGCTGCAGCCGAGCCTTTCTATATCCCTGCAGCAGGTCATCTGACATTTGAATTCCGCAGTAGAGAGCATCACCTGGATGCATTTTGACCTTGCCATAGTAACACAAGCCTGCCATGATAAAAGGAAGCTTCCAGCATCCTGTCATGAAACAGAATACAGAATGGCATGTACAGTGCTGCCTCACTTAACGATTGCTCCACTCTATGACAAAATCACTGTACGATTAGGTTTTTGCGATCGCAAAACGATGTTTTAAATGTTTTTTTTCTGTTTAACGATGATCGGTTCCCTGCTTTGGGAACCAATTTTCGCTTTACAACGATCAACAAACAGCTGATCGTCGGGTTTCAAAATGGCCAACGGCTGCTTAAAATGGCTCCCTGCTGTGTTTTTGGACGCATTCCTCGCCTTACAGGCAGCTAAAATGGCCGCCCTTATGGAGGATCTTCTCTGGACACTGAGTTTTCAGCCCATTGGAACGCATTGAAGGGTTTTCAATGCGTTTCAATGGGCGTTTTTGCTCTACAGCGATTTTGCTGGAACGAATTAACGTCGTTAAGGGAGGCACCACTGTATACAGACAAAAGCAGGGCTCATTCCTGAGGACTGGTGACACAACGGTCACTGTACCCCTCTTGACGTTCTCCTGCATGAAAGTGAAAGGCTGCTACTCAATCTTGTGAGAGACACTGACATTCTGGGCCTCCCCCTGTCATGAAGAGATCCCACTGGGAAGGCACTCACCTGGCCCCCAAGAACCTTGCAAGATTTTAAGTCTGGATACACCGCATTTCTCACTATACACTATCTGGACAGTACAGTGGAAGAGACTTCCAAACTCTTAGTATGTTCACTGTTAACCATCAGCATTTTTAAATTTCATAAAAATAGCACTGGATACTAGTCTTTTTCCTTCTTGTTGCCTGAATTGTGAGGGAGTTTGGATTTTTAGATTTTTTGCAAGGGAGTGAGGGCTATCATCTTTCATAAAACAAAATAGAGAGACAAGTGCAACCCAGTCAAAAATTCAAGCACTCCGAAGTCTCACTCAGTAGTTCATTTCCCCTACATGTAAATCAAGGACCGCTAAACGCTTAGCTTTCAACTGGGTTGTGTCCCATATTCTTTGTATTTAAAGACTTTTATTTTAATGGAAAATAACTTCTACTGGGGAAAAAGAATTTGCACCTTAAAACCAAAGGTTACCTTCCGTTTGAATCCCAGCATAGGCAAAACTGAGTGTTTCTGAGAAGAAATTACTCCCATCAACATATTTTTCATTAGTGCTATAACTAGAATGAAGTTCAGTTTTAAACCTTGCGTGGGACATGTTTGAGCTTTAATGTTCCATCCTACATCTTAATATCACAGAAGAGAGAATAAACTATTTGAAAGAACAGTCTCTTAGCTGGTGCCTGCAGATTTTAAAATGCAAAGTGGCTTAGAGGCTACTTCACTGCAGCTTCTGAACATTTTCCCCTGAAGAATTTCAGATGGGTTAAAGGAGCTCTTACATTAATCTTGATCTATTTTCCGATCACCCTTAATTCTATAAACACAGTGCTTGGAAAGTAGATATCGTTCAGATCTAAGCTCGTCCCTTAGAGGGTCCTCTCATATGTCTAGAAAGCTGCTCTGTAGACTACTGGGAAAAAACACACAAGCCTTTAGTATTCAATAAAATGTCAGTGACTGAAAACTGAACATCCTTTCTCTGATTATTTAAATGAGCAGCTTTACTTCTAGAAGCTGGCATGGTTTGGACCGAGTTCACAAGTACGTACCCCAAGAATATACTGGCAGGAATGAGGCTCCAGCATATAAACAGTGACCGCATGGGGAGAATCAGATTCTTTGCATCTTAAAATAAAGAAAGACGTTAGTGAGTGCCCCACACTAGATATAATAATAATGCTTCTTGTTTAATCAGCTAACTTTCAGCCCCAATATTTTAAGCAGCATTACTGGCATGAATGTTACAGTACTTTCCGCAACATTTTGTGGGATTGCTCTTTGTACACTCCAGAAGCCAATATTTAGCCCCCAACCACTGCTAAAACATGCCTCTGTGGTCTTCATCACATGAAGGATATCTTAAGTTCTGAGACTGCTACACCACAGAATGAGGGCAGCAGATACAAACTAAAGTTTGTTTCTTCAGGAGAGGCAGAGTAAAGATAAACACTTAAGTCACCATACAGAAGATGCCAGAAAATTGGGTCAATGCCCTTGTACAGGGCATGCACGTCTTCAGAGGGACCTAAAGGAGCTACCTGCCTTGTGCCCAGTTATTAATAAGTATAATGGCCTATATACTATCAACTACACCCGCTGGTATAACACAACAGGTGTGAATCTCATTGGTCAACTGCCCCAACAGGTTTCTACTTTTGTTTCCTTCTATCGTAGTTTTTTTCTCTTTTAAACAGAACCAAGCTTCGAAAGAACTGAACACCAAACAGGGCTCTTAAATCCAGGGGTGAAATGCAGCCAAACATTACTGTCCCATTATTTTAGAGCCTTGTACAAATGTTTACTATGTAGTCTCTGTGTTCTGACTCTTATGTCTGATGAAGTGGAAATGTTCCAGACACGCTTACATTAAAATACAGCAGTTGGTCTTTAAGGGACTGCAATGTCCTTTCTTTTTTATTTTGTGATTCTTGTTGACAAGCTAAGAAGTTGGCACAGGCATTTGTTATTGTGTTACTGTACACACTCAGTGAGCAACAGCTAATGCTTGCTCTAACTTCTTAACTTGCAGCCTTTAGCCAATGAGATTTATACCACTTGCATTATGCCAGCGTAAGAACTCAATAGGATTGTGGCCAAGGTCATGTTGTTCTTTAAAAGCACAAAAGGACACATATTAGAAGTAATTTTTTATTATTAAAATAGAAAATCTAAATAAACCAGTATGGAACTGAATTATTTTTGAAGGATGGGACTCACTTCAGTTTCACGGTCACCTGTCGAGCTTTGTCAGTTAAATCGCAAACATCCCCATTTCCATAGTAGTGAGATACCATTCTGCCAAGAAAAGTACAGATTTCTTAAAGAACAAGAATTGCAGCTTCTTGCCTCCGTAAGTTACAGAACTATTGCAAATTTCACAAACAGAATCACAACTAGTGCTGGATTTTATGTAGAACATTCTTGATTAAGTATATATAGAAGTATGCAAAGACTTGGGCAATGTTCTAGGCTTGGATCTGTCCTGGTTTGGGACCTAGACATGGCTCATAGTGTTTCCAAGATTTTGGTGGAATGGAAAATAATTCCATATGAACCACATGGATGCTGATGCTAGAGTAAACTTGGTTTACTTCATAATACCATTCATCTTAGTTTCTCTAGAAATACAATGCCATACTGTATTTACAATTCACAAGACCCGTAATTTCAGTGGCCACAAAATGTATTAGTCTGTTGGCTGACCGTGCCTCATAGCCATTAAGACTTGTATTTCTAAAAGCCTCAGAAAATACAGGATGGATAAATAGGAAAATAAGAATAAAAACCAGGCACAATAAACATGATAAATAAGTACAGGATGTCTACCAGTTACATGCAAGCTCAAGCTTGTTCTTACATAAAGGATGGGCGAAAAGGCATGATGGATGTATTGCATCTTCTGTATCATTTATAGTGGTACTTGTTGTGGGTCTTAGTTTTGGTGAGATACACAAGACCCAGATGAGTTCCAGGAATTAAAAGCAGGGCTCAATGTGGATGACTGGCATGCTTTTTGCCAGTTCCCTGTAACATATGGTGTGTACACAGGTAACTGCTTATCAAGCAGGAATTCACCATGGTGACATACACGTAGAACTGTGGAAAAACACACTGGCCTGTGGGAGAGTGGATAGTTTTATCACACTTCTGCACTATTCATAAACCCAGAAAAGGGCCTTTCTGCAGTAATGCATAAATCCATTTGGCAGGCCCAAAGATGCACTCATCTGTATACACTGTGACATGTTAACCCTTGGTAACTCATTTGGGATCGCAGGGTTATCTTTTATTTTATATTGAAAATACCTTCCCAAGATGACGTTTTCCCATGACACTACACTTCCATGAACTTTCCATCTGCTTCCAGCCACTAAGTACAACTGCCAATTTGGCTTTAATTTGCTTTTTTCTATCTACCACAAGGTCTACATTTAATCCATAGTTCCGTTCGCAAAAGTTGCTATGTTGCTTTTGCATTTCTACTCTTAAGCCAATTTAGGAGCCTGGTGGGTATTTTGCTGGAGGAAATGGACAGATCTATAAAGCAAAAGCGAAGCAAGTTGGTTACATACAGCCCCATAGCACTTCAAGCACTCTCTGGGTGGTTTACAATTTAACTATGCAGGCTACACATTGCCCCCCCCCCTTCAGGAAGCTGGGTACTAAATTTACTGACCTCGGAAGGCTGAGTCAGCCTCAACCTGGCTACCTGGGATTGACCCTGGGTTATGAGCAGAGTTTTGGCTGCAGTACTGCAGTATAAACCAGTGTGCCACAAGGGTCAGTAAGAGTTACAACTGGGCTTTCGCCTATGCGGAGAGGGGACAGTTGTGAGCTGATGTCTTGCCCTCTTTTGCACTGAATCTGTTATTTCCATTTTGCAAATCAGTCTGTCTGCATCCTCATGGGCCACTCCATCTTGCAAACTTTTGAACTTTTTTTTTTTGCTTCTTTCCTGAGCCCTCAAATTTGGCACCATCTTAACCGGACTTCAAAGCTTGCCATATACAGTGGACCCTCGACTTATGGAATTAATCTGTATTGAAACTGTGGCCGCAGTTCGAAAAGTCTGTAGGTCGAGGGTCCATTTCCCATAGGAATGCATTGAAAACCATTTAATTTTTTCCAGCCAAAGGGGGGAAAAAAACGGGCTTCCAAAGCTGCACCCACTGCCCTCTGTCCCCACTGTCCTCTGCCTCCCATCCCCGTGGGGACAGGAGGCAGAGGGCAGCGGGTGCAGCTTTGGAAGCCCGGGAAGCCAAAAGCGTCTCTGTGCCCGCTGCCAGCTTTCAGCTTTCTACTTAGGTATAACATGCTTACTTTTTTTTCATTTAATTAATCTTGACAAACCTAACTTTCTCAATTGATTTTCATGGTTATGCAAGCTAAGTGGACTGGCTCAAACAAAAGGTATGATTTCATTTGCTCTTGGCCAGTGGTTCCCTACCTTGGGTTTCCAGATGTTCTTGGACTACAACTCCCAGAAATCCTGGCCAACACAGCTATTGTTGAAGGCTTCTGGGTGTTTTAGTCCAGGAACACCTGGGCACACAAGGTTGGGAATCATTGCTCTAGAGACAAAGCCCCCGTCTGCTACTTGTCCTCTTTCTCACCTGCTCATACTGCCCTAAGAGTGTGCAAATGAGTTAGCATGTGAACAGTGAGGGGGGGAAAAGCAGGTATCTCCAACTGCTCAGTTTCATTTTGGGAAAAGATGAAGTCACTGGGTATTAATGGTGGGAAACAGGAGCGACAGCTGCTGATCAACTGCCTCACTGCCCTTATGAGCAACGCAAGGGGGAAAAGGCAGCCTTCCGAGGGCCCTCCAGAGACCTAGAAAGTCAGTGTCTGAAAGAATTGCTGTTTCTCTTAATAACTTACGTCCCTCCTTTTCCGCCCCCAAGGGAGAGACTACATTGATTCTCCCCAATATTTCATTCTCACAGCAACTTTGTAAAGCAGGTAAAACAGCCCAAAATATATAACAGTGAGATCAACAGATGTGACACTCACCCCCTATGCCACGGTGAGTTTACTTGCATAGCTAAGCCCAAATGTCAGCACCTGGCAGAACATACAGGCCTCTGCAAAGCCTCCATGAAACTGGCAGTTCCGAAACCAAGGCTTAAGCAACCTTTAGCACAACTTTGTCTAGTTGCCTACAGGAAGAAACATCACAGGAAGGGAAGTTTTTGTAATAAGGGAGGCAGATTAAAGGGCCCATGGAGTGAAACTCAGCACTTTTAAAAGCTTGGAGTAGGAATACAATGGGACATTTTGAGCTCCCACTAGGCACAGTGGTGGATTAAAAAACAACTTACTATAAGCTCATATTATGAATCTTAGAACTGTAGAGCTGGAAGCAAACCCAACAGATCAAGTCCAGCCCCGGCCACAGAGGCTCAGCGGGGAATCGAACTCTCAACCAGATGCCTAAACCACTGAACTATCTATTAACACAAGTGCTAGAACTAAATGATTAGCCCCCTCTCCAGCACTGTATTTGAAAAGCAACTCTTACATACTTGACTGTTTGCATGCCGTCGTCTTTGAGGTGATAAGCTCTAGCCACATTCTTCTGAGCCCATTCAAGATGTTCCTCCTTATTCCACGTACCCACCACTATTGTCGTTTTACCATTTTCCTTATCCTAAAAAAGAATATTTCCCCTTAATTTAATCAAGGCTTCTTCTGTCGTGACACTTCATTCATGTTCCTGGATGATTGATCACTGTTATATTTATACTACTTTTAAATAAAATTCCCAGTGCAGTAAATATAATAGCAGGTATTTGTCTCGCTCCAGAGAGGGCCCCCACATAGAAAGAATACTTTCTGTAAATTACCCAATCCCACAGTTTGAAAAACACTAAAAATCGTTTTCCATGTTGCTGACACATGATCTGGCAAATCTGGAATGTGCTCACAAGATCAAGCAGAGCATATGACTATCCACAACCATGGACAGCACATGACAAGACGAGAAGTCACATTACGGTCCCTCTGTGTGGGCAAAATGACCCTGTATCTTCTATGAAAAAAGGGAAATCATCCCAACTTCCCTCCTTGCATGCACGAGGAGATCAAAAAAGACATAATCTAGCAGAAGACCTCTTCCTGATGTCTCAGAGGTTGAAAGATGAGATGTTACACAAAAATCCACACCTCTTAGGCAGCTGCTGTTCACTCCAGTGGTCGCTTATGCCACAAATTTGCCCACTGGATTGTGCCCAAAGTATTCCACCCACCACATTGATTTATATGATGAGGCAGAGTTTAAACAGGAAGTTTAGCTAGCCTAGGGCTATCGCAGCCTGGTGACGACATCTTTGTGTTGTGCAAAATAACGCTAGATGCTATTTTGGCCCTTTCTGACCTGTGGCGCCAGGACGCACCGGCACGTTTCATAGAACACTTCCTTGATCCAAATCACAGAACCTAAGGACAGTTTGACCATACCAGGGAGATAGTTTGGAACCGTAGCTTATTTGTGTGATTGAAAAACAACAGCTGGCAAAGGAATGCTGAGGGGGGAAAAAAGCCTGGGATCAAAGGAAAGCTCAGGAGAAGATTTATGTCTGGAGTCCTGCGCTGAGCCAGATGAGGGAATCCAGAGGGACAGAAGGAAAAACAGAAGCAGAGGAAAGGAAAGTGTAGCACAACAGAAGAAGTATGGAAGAACACTCTGGAAGGCAATCCGTTCCTCTCTCTTGTGAGGAGCAAGGAGCCAGAAAGGGCAGA